TTGAGAGTGAGTTGGTCATGAGGGTCGGGTCTGTTCTCCACACCTCTTTTTAAGAGTATATATGGATTGTGGATATATCATTGAAGGTTTGGTTTCTTAGACTTTTTTTATCATCTACCAAACTCAAGATGGTAACGTGATTGAGTTAGAGAAGTGGGAAAATGGTAGGATCATTTGGGATTTTAGAAGGAGTATATCGTTCTACGTTCATGAAGAAGTCTTGGTCTCTGAGTTGTTTTGTGTCCTCACTTTATTCCAATTTAGTTAGAAGACTGATAGGTGGTTATAGAAGCATAATACTGAAGGTAATTTTTCAATGATGTATACGTACTCAGTCTAAGTAGAGCTCAGTACCCTATCTGATTCCAACCATGTGAGGGATATCTCATCACTTCCTCATACTTGGGATGGTTAGGCTCCTTCTAAGGTTGTGATATTCTCTTAGCAACTTTTTCTTGATATGTTCCCCAATAGAGAGGTTGCTCAGGAGGTTGTTGAGGAGGTACAACCAAATGTTGTTCTTGGTGAGTTGGGCTCATCGGTTACTGTTGAGACGGAGGTTACAACTCCTTTGACTGAGCCCTCTGTGCACACAGATGGAGGATTCCCATAAGGACACATCGACTGGTTTGTGCTTACGGAGTATGTTGAGCATGTGGCCTTACGATTATGGCTGAGCGAGGTAAAGGTCTTTTATGTTTAGTTTTAACTTTTGTTTATGTATGTCTGTCATAATTAAGTATCAACTAATTTGTTTATATTTTTTTGTCACGGTAGTGACCCACACTGAATATCACATCTCACTGGTCGAAGATGAAAGGCTTCCCGAAGAATCTGATGTCTAACCAAGTCAGTCGGATTATACGGGACTTCGAGCTGGTTGATTTCACCCACTGCTCACTCACTATGTTGGATGCTCCATTGCTTAGTGCCTTTATTGAGAGGTAATACAAGGATACATCATCATTTCATCTTCTGTTTGGAGAGATGACTATCACTCTGGATGATGTCTCTGCATTGTTCCATCTCCCTATCGGTGGCCAATTCGGGACGCCCGCCACATCCCACCTCGCGTTAAGCCCGCCAAAAAAAGGGGCAGGGCGAGCAAGTCCGCCAAGTGAAAATGGGCTTCAAAATCTTGCTCGCTTATTTTTATATTTTTGTACTTTTTATTTTTATAATAGATTAATAGGCTTATTTTTAAAATTTAATTAGATTTTACACATATTATAAGAACAATTTTTTGTAAAGCATCTTTTAACAAATTTTACTTAAAAAAATATTGCATATATGTATAAAATAGAATCGTCAACAAGTATTTCTAAATATAGTTCAAGTATTAACCTTCAACCAAAAAAAAATTATTTTAGTACTTGATAACTACGTTGGCAGGCTAGGCGGGTATGCGGGCACAAAATCCTAACCCAACCCGCCACTCTTTTGCGGATGCGCAGGCCGGCCTGGCGTGCCCCAATCTGTTTTGCCACCCCTAACTGGACTAGCCCGTAGGGGCCTATTTAGATACATTTTGTATAATTTGTATTATTTGTATATTATTCAGAAATCTTTATCATAACACTTTATTAGTTATTATTAGTGTTATTCTTTAAATTGCACTGTGAACGTTAACTAACACCCGACAATGGTTTTCATAACTTAAACAAAAAACCTTTAAATTTTCAATATATTTAATAAATAAGAAAAACCTAAACATTACTAGATGCTTAAGGACGTTTTCGCATCTCCATTATGTCGTCAACGGATCTTGACAACTTTGCATTTAACTCAATCAGCCCCTTTGTTATCTTCGAAATGATATCCACTTTTCTTTCACATCTTCGTAGGCCTTCAACTCAATAAGGTTGTATTTCACCCTCCCGTTTGTATTAATTCAATCTTTACGAAACTCGATCTTTCTCACCTTTCTATTATCGCCATCAGATAACAATTCATTCAACTTCGACACCAGGTCGGCAAAAAATGTGGTGCCATTTGGAAGCTTGAACTCTACAAGAGGAGAAACTTCGTTGAAGTACACTTCTTCCTTAATCAAAAATTAGGGAAGAGACATTTTTTGAGATGTGTTTATCAACAACAGGTGACCCATATTTATACAAGTTTGAATCTATTTTGAACCAAACAAACTGTCAGTGCAATAACAGCTGCACAAAACTGTCGACAAAATCTTGATCATCCAAAAAAATCCTAAAAATACAAATACCAGAAATTTCACTTCGGGTGAAATTTCTGGTATAAACATGGAAATTTGAAATTTCCGGATCATTTTACACTATACCAGAAACTCTGAAATTTCCGGAACATTTTACACTATACCAGAAATTCTGAAATTTTTGGAACACCGGAAATTCTGAAATTTCTGGCACACTAGAAATTCTAAATGAACTACCGGAAATTTCAACTGTACCAGAAATTTCAACATTCCTACCGGAAATTTCATACCGAAATTTGATGTATTTTTCACCTAGTGGCAGTTTTAGTATTATGAAATATTGAGAGGGGGGGGGGGGGGGGGTTGCCAAATTTAATTTAGGGAGTGGCAGGTTAAATTATCAAGCATGACCAGTGTCTTGGGCCTCATGTTTTTGGGCTTTAAACTAGACCTCCAAATTAATTTATGAACAACTACATTTGAAAAAAAAAGCATTGTTTAAAAGTTTGAGAATTTCTTAAGGCGGCGTATGTGTTTCTTAAACACCATGCAAATTTCCTATAATGCCCCTAGTTTATGGAGATATATCTTCGGACGCACCCTTTTTACACTCAAGGAAGACCATTCTGGATGGCGCTCCATTCATTTGCTAAAGATTTATTCCGGAGATATATCTTCGAAACCATTTGGAGAAAATATGAATATTAATTAGTTTAGTGAATTTTCCAAAGATATATCTCTGGAAGATGTGGCCGACAATTTGAATTTTCTTGTCACCTTTGCATGTCAGTTTGTTCTGGAGATATATCTCTGAAAGTATCTAATATATTTTCCAACTGCATGATCAGTCCCCATTGTTACCATACTTCTATTTCAACTTAAACCCTCACCCCTAAAAACTATACATTCTCAATCCCATTTTTCACTCCAAATCTCTATCCTTTTGGTTCAACATATCACAGGGAGTAAAAGAAGATCGAATTTTAAGCAAATATTGTTCATTTTCATCTACATTGCTCAGATTAATCATGAAAATTTCTGGAAAAAAAACATACGCAATGTCCGGAGATATATCTCCAGAACGTGTTGAACATGAACTTTTTCGGAGATACATCTTTGGAGTGTTTCTGCGTTCAAATACCATCCTCTTCTGCAGCAATAAATTTATTAATGTTTTGTTATTGTTTGTATTGTTTCCAATAGATATAGTGCACCCCGATAATATCTCAAAAAAAGTAATTTCTTCGAATGAAATTTCTCCTAATATTCAAGGGATTGTTGTTAAGGTTGTAGATGTTCACGACGAATTTAATAACAAGCAACAGTTTGAAAATTGGGATAACATGCCCGAATTGATTCGTATGGTGGAATCTAAACTTGGATTTGGTGTGGTTATCGGAAGGTCAGATACTGGCTGGGATAGAAGAAGCTCCTTTGTGACTATGTTGTGCGAAAGAAGTGAGAAAATATGAACTCCTCTCCGAAATTTTAAGAGAGAAGACAAGGGTAGTAGAAAATTTGAGTTTCCATTCAAGATTTGTGGCTACATGTTGGCTAGCAAAAATGGAGATTTAATGTCATTAGTGGTGTGCATAACCATGAATTATGCTTAAAGCTATCCGGTCATCCTAGTGTATGTCGGCTCAAGCCGGAAGAAAAGGTATGTATACGTATTAGTGAGATGACCTTGAATCTTGTCCGACTGAAGAATATACTTGCAACATTAAAACAGAAAAAAAAACTGACAATATATCAAATATCAAGCAAGTGTATAACATTCGTACCTCACTAACAAGGCGATTAGGGGAGATAGAACTGAGATTCAACAACTGTTGAAACTGCTGGACAATAACAGTTACGTGTCCTGGTACCGAACTTGCGGCAATGGAGTTACGGTTAGAGATATTCTTTTTGACTCATTCAGATTCGATAAAGTTGTTCAACACGTTTTTGACAGTGCTCATACATGATTCTACCTACAAGACCAACAAGTATAGACTTCTATTATTTGAGATGGTTGGTGTTACCTCAATGGAGAAGACATATTTCGTTGGTTTTACATGTTTAAAGTGTGAAAAAAGAACCACTTTACTTGGGTATTAGAGATGTGTCAATCACTTTTGAAGGATGAAGGTGAGATTCCTAAAGCTATTGTTACGGACCGTGATACCGCATTGATGAATGTCGTTGCAAAGGTGTTTCCTTCTTCTTATGTATTACTTTGTAAGTATCACATAAAAAATGTGAGAATTCGGGGTTAAACACACAGTAGGGACGAAACAAGTAAATTCCAAAGGTGGAAAATTGGTGAAGTCGGGTGTAATCGTGGAGAAAATAATGGATGCATGGAATCACATAATAAATTATTTCACAAAAGAATTATATGTTGATTCCTTCATTCATTTTCGGAAAGTGTGTGAAAAGTATCAAGATTTGTTGAAATATGTTAAAATTACCATTCTTGATCAGGTGAAGGAGAAGATAGTTTGCGCGTGGACTGGTAATGTCCGACACCTCGGAAATACAACCACCAACAGATTTGAATCGACCCATGCTACTTTGAAAATTTGGTTGGGAAATATCAAACGAGATTCGTGTCGAGATTATAACTTTATAACCCATATGTTTCAAAACCAACATAATGAGATATAAACAATATTTGTTCGGAGGATCACAATTTTGGAACACCTATTTAAAGACAACATTCTTTATTCTCATTTGGTCGGCAATATTTTTCGGGAGGGGTTGAACTATATTTTTCACGAGGCTAGACGAGTTGATAATGTAGGCTTCGATAGTGCAAAGTGTGGTTGCACTATTGTGAAAACATATGGTCTCCCATATGCTTATGTTATTGCTAAAAAAAGTGAAACTTGGTGAACCAATCAGAATGGACGATGTTTTCTCTCATTGGAAGAGACTTAGTTTCGATGATGATGGATGCATAGATGAAGGTAAATTGAATATCTCTATTTTGACCAAATGGAAAGCGATACAAGAGAGATTTTCGAAGGCCGATGACAACATGAAACTCCACATAAACGAACAATTGAGGAAGATTTGATATTCCAAAACCACCAAAATGAAACTGCCTTCTCAATCGGTGAAAACAAAAGGTGCTCCAAAGAAATGAAGCCTACACCAAATGAAAACTCGGCTACACGGTCCCCTTCATACTCTAAACATGTGGACAAAGTATTTCCCGACTCACTGACTATAAAATCTCAAAAAAAGTGTTGTGAAAGGAGCTCGAATTAGCAAACCACCTCCGACGCCGCTTCCACCGAAAATTCCATTCATTGACGAGATGCCGATGTTTATGCACAAATATATTGATCGTATCGTCAATGTTGATGGAGACGGTAATTGCGGTTACCAAGCCGTTTTGACTTTACTTGGTAAAGGAGAAGATAGGCTTGTGCTAGTCCATTATTAACTTATCCAAGAGTTGAAGATGCATAAGCAATCATACAGGCGGTTGAACGGAAATAAAGAAAATTTTGATGTGGTTTATGAGTCACTTGTTTCTTGCTTGAACGATCGGGCACTAGATTTAAAATGGGTGAGCTTTCCGGATATGGGTCACCTAATTGCATGTGCATAGGGTGGGTGTGCATTGACCTGACACACTATGGGTTTTTGGAAACCTTTTTTCTACTGTGTACCGCACCACCCCAGAATCCAAATGATCGAATCATGTGTATTAGATGGATTTCAAACTCAAGTCATTTTGTTCAAGTTTACTTGAAACTGGGATACTCCATACCACTTACATCACCGAAATGGACGACTCATTCAACTACAAATGGCGACATGTGCCAGAATCATTTTATGGAAAGGATGGAAGAATTCGATGATTAAATAACATTGAAAGGGAATCGAATGCAGAAAAGTTCAAGGGAGTACCATCTATTGATTTAGCCGACGATACATGTTTTGATTCATTTTGATTTCTTGTGTAATCGGACAAATAATTGTATAAGTGTGTCTCAATATAAATGAAGTGTTACATATTCACTTATTATTCATATTTGGTCTTTATGCATATTTGGTTCATATTTGGTCTTTGTGAAATCTCTGTCATATGATATTGTTTATGAAAATGTATAAGGAAGAGTTCTGGAAATACATCTCCCAAAATTTATTTTATTTGCTATGTTTTTTAATGGTTCAAGGAAAGTTCCAAAGATGCATCTCCAGAATAAGATAACGGGGTGTCTTTTCGGATATATATCTCTGGAGTATGAATGACAGTCAATAAGTGGTCCTTATTGAATTAGGTCTTCTATAAATTTGGGTGTTCTTGTGTTATATTTCACACAAACTCAAAATATCTAAATGTGTGAAATAAACATCTGTTGGTATGTCGCAAGTGTCTCTTACTCCGACGTCTCTACACCCGGGAGGACGTTCAATCTCACCTATCTCACCTCCCTCAACGATATCATAGATGAAATCTACTATCTTCTACCTTACGAAGACACTCGAAATATTGTCAAGCTTGAGTGTCGTTCACCCTCGCTTTACAACAAAGGGAGCATTGTGTTCAGCAAATTTGAGCTCAAGACTCAGGTGGATGTTATGGTGACGTGGCGAACGTTTTTCGATTTCGAAAAGAAAGTTCTGCTCGAGATGGAAGTGACACTACGAAGATCGGTCGAAGTTATCTTGGAGATGTGCAAGCGTCCACCGGGACATTGAAATGTAATATTTAATTTTTTGTTGAAATCATCATTGTAATGTTCATTTTATGTTATGAATGCTAATTTTATGTTTGAAAAGTTTATTTTGTGTTGATTCTGTATCTGGTTTTGTTTCGAAATATAACTACGATATGATTTCGAAGATATATCTTCAGAATAAGTTTTTAGCAAATGCATTAGACGCCATCTAGAATGGTCTTTCTTAAATATAAAAAAGACATGTTAGAAGATATATCTCCGAAAATTATGAGCATTATAAAAAATTTACATGATATTTAAGAAACTCATGGAATACCTTAAAAAAATTCTCAAAAATTTCTCGTATAGTAGTCCGGTGATAAAGTAATATCCAAATACTAAAAAGTCAGCAATTTAACTTCTGCTCTGCCTACTATTAGCCTTATTTTTCCTTATCAATCAATTTTTATAATGATTAATATGATTTAAGAAAAATATATTTTCAAACATTGCACATTGATCTAACAATATATTTTTGATATAATTAATTATTTGTTTTAAAATTTCATAAATATCATGTTTATGAATAAAAAATAAAGATTGTGTTAAATTGCTAAAGTTTTTATTTTATTTTTTTAGAGAAAATTATGTGTAATTTTAATTTAATATTTTATCTATTTTTGTTTTGTCATAAAAATTGAAACTATTGTTTATAAACGAATAAAAATAAATATTTTTAATGAATAATTTTAAATTTCAATTCTAAAATAGTACTTGCTTTATAATTTTATTTTAAATATAATAAGTAATTAATTTTATTATTTATTTCAAGAAGTATATAACATTAGTACAATTAATTCAAGCTATTAAGAAGATAAAAAGTAACATGATACTATTTTTTGTTTTAATTAAGGATTAAATTAATATAATTAATATGTTTTAGAGATTATTAATTAATTTTATATTATTTAGAGACTTAATTGAAAAAAAAATTATATATAAATTTTGTGTTAAAAAATTAATATTTGTTGGGCAGAACTTGGTCACGTGGAGTTGATCTTGATTGAAAATATGATATTCCCTCTATCTAATAAAAAGTATTTCATTTATATTTTTTTTATGTTCTAAATTAAATGTTTTTTTTAGAGATCCAATATGATATTTAATATTTTTTTTTATTAACTTTTATGTTTTTCAATTACTCTATTAAAAGAATAATTTTGTAAAAAATATTAATTTTATATTAAATTAATACATATAATTAATTTCTTAAAAACTGCATAAAATTAAAATAAAATATTTGTTATGAGACATTATTTGCGATAAGAGGCATAGTAAAATAGTTAGCATGCCACTACTTTTGTTTTTAACTATTCAGCATTGACATTCCTTTCTATAATGTATTCCACTTTTAGGGGATAGGGTCATTTGCATTTCCTTGCACATCTTTCTACTTTGGAATGGTCAAATTATAATGATGTAAATCTATAAATTCTATTAAATTATTCCCGTATAAATATTTCCATAAGTATTCAGTGTAAAGAATGTAAAGACATTGACCGGAGTTGCCTGAAAAGTGAGTGCTTCCTATTTCTCCTGTCTAAATCTAAATACACTTCACTTCACATTATCCTCACTCGAATTTTTGTTGCTGTTTTTATTGATGACAAATTATCATTTTGGGGATTAATTAATAATATGAACAAAGATTTTATAAATTAGTATCCAAGCTGAGGGACATTTTGTTTAAGAGTGTTTTTGGGTAAGATGAGGGAACAAGGCGGAGGGAGCGGTGAGATGAGAATGGATGAATTAGTTGTATTACTTGTAATATATGCAACACAGGTTATGTTGCAGAGCGAACAAGATGGCATATTGCCAAAAACTGATAGATAAAATATAAATTATTATAAAAATGAATAGGTTTGTTACTCGATATTCATTTTTGGCTTTACATTTCTGCACATAGAAGAAGCTATCAAGTTCCTAGAAAAGCATCCAGCATTCAAGTAATTAATATATGACTGAATACCGGAAGCCTTTGAGGGAACATGAAGAGTTCCTCAACCAACTCAGTTGACTTATCAATAAATATTTAGTTGTTGGGCTTATATTTATAGGCATGAATGGTTGTCCCTTGCTATGAGATAGAGGTGAAAAGAATACTGAGTCATATCAACATGATTCTGTTCTGTGTGTCTAGATTTGCTTTTATTTTCCTTCCTTTGCTGTCTGATACGTTTTTATCTCACTGTATACACAGAAAGATTAGAAATATATATAGAGATGAAGGAATAAATACAAAGGGCCAAATCTTTTTGGACACTATTTCTATTTGCTTGATTAGGATAGAATTTTAAATACAATAGTCTTATGCTTTAGAGAATATTGCTAGCTTTCTATTTGCTTGATTAGGATAGAATTTTAAATACAATAGTCTTATGCTTTAGAGAATATTGCTAGCTTTCTCTTATACTTTTCAAACCTAATCGATTTTTAACGGGCTAAAAACACGATGTTAGATTAAAATAAATATTTTATAAAATTTAAAGTATTTTAGAGTAGTTATTAGTATCAAATTTGACAATAGTTATATTTTTATAAACTACAAGGAAAACTCAAATTAATTGAGTAATTTTGTTGGTTGAAGTTCACCTCGAAAAAAAATAAATATTGTCGAATGTTAATCACCCTCAGGTTATTTATCTAAATATTATGTATATTAGGGTTTTAGTTTATCTTAATTATATATATATATATATATATATATATATATATATATATATATATATATATATATATATATATATATATATATATATATATATATATATATATATATATATATATATATATATATATATATATATATATATATATATATATATATATATATATATATATATATATATATATATATTAAAATAGTATTAATTTCTTTTCATTTTTTAATTAATTTTTTATAATAAAATAGAATATATATAATTTTTGTTTTTTAATTTATTTTATATATTACCACATAATAAAATTTTTAAATAAAATTGTTCATTATTTTATTATATTCTTAAATTAAGTATATTATTTTTTTATATTTATATCTATACCTATATATAAAGGGAATACACAATTTTGGTATGACTTATTTTGTATTCCTTAATTACCCTTCACTTACTTCATATTTTATAATTCTAAAGTCTTAATTTAATTAAATAACTTCCATATACAATAACCGCCTAGAAGTTATTGTGAAACAGATGCAATAACTATCGGGAAGTTATAAAGAAGAAAGAAAAATACAACTTCATAAGAATATAAACTTCATAAAGCAAAACAAGTTGTTTTTGGATCTTCGCTCTATTTTCTCGTGGTGGAAAGGAATCTTGCTTCTTGAGTCAAAATTGAT